TGTACTGCACCGGCTGCGGTGTATGCACAGCTGCGGTGTATGCGCAGCTAGCTGCGGTGTATGCGCAGCTAGCTGCGGTGTATGCGCAGCTAGCTGCGGTGTATGCGCAGCTGCCCTTTGAGGTGTATCTACAACTGCATACACATTAGAGTGTGTGCACAGCTGCATGGGGACTGAGGTGTATATACAGCTGCTGCGCATACATAGCTGGGGTGTATATACAGCTGCATGCTGGGGTGTACATACAGCCGGAGTTTCACAGTGTCTGCGCTGGTGTGGGGGGGCGAAGGGTCTAACACGAGCTGCTGTTGGTGCTGCTGCTGCTGCTGCTGCTGTTGCTGCTGCTGCTGTTGCTAGTGAGGGGACAATGCCTCAGTGTATGTTCTGTTTGTTGAGACGAGAAAGGAGAGAGAAAGAAAGCAAAGACAGACAGCAGCTGTCTCTGCATCGCTGCGTGTGTCTTGAGGGCCGTTTCAGGTGTATGGGCACCTCTGTGTGCGCTGATCCATGCATTTTATATTATATTATATTATATTATATTATATTATATTATATTATATTATATTATATTATATTATATTATATCAAATTATATTACATTTTATTACATTACATATCTAGGGTTTAGGGTTTAGGGTTTGGTTTCCCTTCGAGTGGCCCAAAGAAGAAGCCTCTCAATCCTAGGGTTTAGCGTCTAGGGTTTAGGGTTTAGGGTTTAGGGTTTAGGGTTTCGTGCTGAGCGTCTGTCTCCAATAGCGAGAACTGCAAATTTCAGTTCGTCTCCTCTAGGCTTCACAAACTGCTCCGTTATAGCCTCAAACGCAGCCTGCAGCAGCAGCAGCAGCAGCAGCAGCAGCAGCAGCAACAGCAGCAGCAGCAACAGCAGCAGCAGCAACAGCAGCAACAGCAGCAAGGAGAGCAGTAGCAGCAGCAGCAGAACGAGCAGTGTCGAGTTTGTATAGCGGCTACAGCAACAGGAGAGTCTTTCTATCTGCCCTCATATCAAGGGTTTAGGGTTTAGGGTTTAGGGTTTAGGGTTTGTGTACCTGTGCAAACGTTTGTTGGGGTTTTATCTTAGCTCTGATGAGGGGTTTGGGTTTGCGGCCATCGAGCTCTATAACAAACCCTCGCCAGGGGAGAAGACAAGTGAAATGCATATTTGTATTTGCTGCTGCTGCTGCTGCTGTCTCTCCCTGCTGCTGCTGCTGCAGATGGAGACACGCCAACTCTTTGTTTGTCTCCAGTGCAGCGCCGCGCGCTGCTGGGTCTAAACCCCACGTCTCACCTATACACAAACCCTAAACCCTAAACCCTAAACCCTAGCGCACGCAAACGCTAACCCTAAACCCTTAACCTGTACATGTAGGAAAGTGATGCCGCCCATAAACCCTAAACCCTAAACCCTAAACCCTAAATAGTATGAACAAGTACTGTATCTAAACCCTAAAGAAAACAAACCCAACCTCCTTTTGTTGTGTTTTTGTTTGCTGCTCAAGGTATCTATCGTGTAAGATAAAGCGTGTACCGTCAATGAGGGTTT